TTGTGAACAGAAAACAAAGAGCTGCTTTCAACCTCAACTGCAACACTGTTTTTGTTGTTATTTTTGATGTTTGTCGCCTTTCTTAACCAGTCCCCTCTACCTACTATGTGTGAACTAAAACAATGGCTGGTCGCTTTGGCAGGGTTCGGACTAAAGAAATCCCCACTGGTAGACCGACGCTGACCGGTTGGCGGCGCCTCTATTTATTCTTAAAGTTGAACTTCTTTTTTATCGTCAGGTGTCTGTCAATCCCAGCTGCAATGCGGTGTATCATAAGAAAAGCGCAAAGTGTCAGGTGGGAAGAACTTCCGGTCAAGGCGAATGAAGAACTTCCGCTCCCCATTGGTCTGAGTCAACCAACTACCAAGCTTGCCAGCCTGTCACTCCCTCCCAGTGCTGCTCTGTTCGCTGCTGCCGTGGGGACTCCGTCCAACCCGAACACCCCAGTCTTTCATGGAACTTCTCCATCGTTCACCGCGTTCACGTTAGAGACGCCTTCACCAACGTTTAGTGCGTTTCCGTTTTCATCAATTTCTCCGACATTTTCATTTCCAACAGCTGAAGTAAGTGCAGCTATTCCAGAATTAGTAACTACGGTTAACAAACAAGAGAAGAAGCCAGAAACTCCGAAACAATCCACAAACCTCAAAATTACACTGAAGAGGAAACGGGACGACGAGTATGTTATCGAGAAATTCCATCTCCCCGAAGAAATGCCGAAAAATGAAGGGAATGTCGGGGTACAAGGGGCTGGCACAGTACCAAAATCAAGCGACACTATTACGTCAGATACCAGCACCATGGAAGGAGAACACTTTTCCTTTGATCTTGCCGCTATGTCAGGAGCGAACTTCTCCATGGGATCTTCATTCCAAGATGTGACCGCTGGACTTGATGGATCAGCGGTTGTATCCACGGGAGGCCCCGCTGCAGTACCAACTTCTGATTCTATTGCAGCAGTGAGCGCCCTAGGGATTGTACCCTCGGGAATCGAGGGATTGCCCTCTACAGCGGATCTGTTCGATATTGGAGCTGCTGGCGCTGAAGGAACAGAACTGGAAGGGATTCTTCAGAACCTATCGGGAGTATCACATCTCCCCCCGGACATTGTCCCGGGGGGTTCGGCTTTGGATTTTGATACGGGATTAGGTATGTGAGAATTCCTACATCTTGAGTTTTTTTCCCTCCATAGATTTTCACATATCCCCCGGATATTGTCTCAGGGGTTTCGGATTAGTTACCGTAAAATTCCGAAAATAAGCTCCGGGGCTTATATTTTTCAAAGGCCCGTTTTGAGGGACTTATTTTTGGAGGGGTTTCTATTCGGAGGGACTTATGTACGATGGGAAATTTGCGTTTCAAAATCGATTGGACTAGCTTGTAGTGGAAAGGAAATTTACCATTTTTGCTTTGTTTTACTTTGTATTCGAGGGCAAATTCCAAGTACAAGTCCCCCGGGGGGCTTATATTCGGAGGGGCGATTTAACTGAGGGTTTTTTTCGGTACGATTTTCAGGGGCTTATGTTTGGAGGGGCTTATACATGGAGGGGCTTATTTTCGGAATTTTACGGTATGTTAATATTCTTGTCTTCCCAAAATCCCCGCTTCCGTCTGAAATATCTCACTCCACGCAGAGATTAGTTCAAAAGCTTGAAGGAAAGCTGCAAATGTTTTTACAGGGCGGTCATTATGAGCCGGGGCCGGGGGCTTTCCCCCTGATACTATGAACGTGATCCCCGTTTTTTTTTCATGGTAAAATAGAGGAAAATAAACCCCTAGCCTGTTGTTTTTACCTGTTAAGTTTAAATCTTCGTGTCTGGCCTGATTTTTCAGCTAATTGGTAGAGCATTTGAAAGTTCTGTACTGGAGGTGATCTTGTTTTGATAGAAACCTCACTTCTTTTCAAATATAAATTATTCTCTTCTGCGTATAAATGGCACTGAAGTTTCTATCAAAACTAAATTACCACCAACGTCGCTTACTTTCCCTAAAAGGCTAGGTTGCTTAAAATGCAACTGTGAATCAGCCTATTTTATTATTGGTCAGGGCCAGGAGTTGCTGGACTTGATGTGTCGGACCCAGGCTTCGATATTGATGCGGCCATTGACGCCAGTGGAGCCGCTGACCCTAGCATAACGGGAACCGCAGGTACTGTGAATAACAAGTTTGTAGCTCGCTAAAATTTCATTTAAAATGTTCTGAAAACGTTATGCACCAGTCATTTGAAATCCCCAGATCCCCCTACCCTCCGGGATGACTGGGGATAATCCGGGGCCTTTCACTTCATATTCACTCTGTTTTGGTCCACCCGCAGGCGGAAATATTCTAGAAATTATGGTCTTCGCTTCCTGGACCGGCAAATAAGCGAAGCAGTTTCTCTAGAGGAGTTGAATCGCTCGATATTTAATAGTAGTAGTAGTAGTAGTAGTAGTAGTAGTAGTAGTAATAATAATAATAATAATAATAATAATAATAATAATAATAATAATAATAATAATAATAATAATAATAATAAACATTAATATTAAAAATAATTATAGAAATAATAATATTAATAAAAAGCTATAGCCATATTTGGATATTTGCCATCCTTTCTTACCCTGCGCGATAACAACATTCTGGTTAACTTTTTTTAAACTTTTACCGTGTATGTATGGTGTCGTGAACTAGGGGTGGGGAAGTGGGGAGTTCACCATTCACCTTAGCTCTTGGGAGCCGGGAATTCTCTTGCTTTCACTTGTATAAAAAGTGAGTGCCTTGGTCATCCACGAAGGGGGTCAAAGGGTTTCAAACGTCTGGCGCGTGACACTATTTGTTTTTCCCTTTTAGGGGCCTTTGATGTGGACTCCACATTGGATTTTGACCTTGATCACATTGCTGGTGTGGGAGGTCTTCCGCCTGACGTCACTTCCGGTAGCGATCTCTTGGCCGTAAGTGGACTGGGTGCAGGTGATAGTTCGGTTGATATTGACATGACTGGATCGCAATCAAAAATATAAACCTTGTAGTGAAGATTGAAGGAGTGAAGAGAGAGTGAGAGCACGAAAACTTGGCCATAAACTTGGGATTAATGTTTTCAAAACTTGGGGTCGGTACAGGAGCCCTGATTGGCCTCTGACAAGTATTGAGTGCTCGTCCGTCTTAGAGAGGTGTCCTTGAGTTACAGAAAATAACTAAAGGAAAGGAAGGATCTCAAGTGTCATATTAGGGACGTGACGATACTGCGACGGCGACGGCAACGAGAACGTCAAACAGGCAAGGGGTTTAATAAGCAAACCAACAACTCTGCACGTGATCACGCTTTTCTGTCAATTTTTTTGGCCTTCCCTGCACAACTGCGTCGTGAAATTACCAAACGCCAAGGTCATCAATTTTACTGTATCGTTTTGAGCTGGGACGCGGTCCTCCCTCTTCATCTCCAGTTTAATTTCCCTTCTGAACAAGTTGGAATAATGGAAAAAGAGTTTCAAAGGAGGCGAAGTCAGGGTTTCAATGACGTTTTCAGCGTTTCACCGTATCGTAAGGTCCCTATTTTAGATGTGCGTCTTATAGAGGTATGCTTTAAACAGAGTTGACTGTACTGTATATAATGTAAATAATGTATATTTATATTTTCATTTTATTAGCAGAAGATTAAAATAAATTGTATCTTAGAACAAAATTTGGTGAAATTTCAGTGATTACTTTTTTATTTGTATTGTGTTAAAATTTCTGCTGGTTTGGTCGTCTTATGCCTTTAGTGCAAAGTGTGTTTAGACGCCACTTTTCCTCCAATCCCTGGCGCTCATTCTCCCCACCTCCATTCCCCTTTCCCCCAGAATATCCGTGTGAATACGTTTTTGAAGTGGAATGAGGGGTCAATTTAATAAAACTTTTACACTTGTAATTTAAAAGTGTAGCTATTGTTTAAGAGTCTGAAAACAATAGCTACAATTACACTTGTAAAAGGTTTATTAAATTTACCCCAGTATCGATACCATCGGTGAGAATGACGTCATGAGGTCGCCGTAACGTCGGGTCATTATATCGTTAACTTTTACTTGTTTATGTATCTCAAAATTAGTATTTATAAGATGCCGATATCGGTAGCCTTTTTCGAGACTAGCCGTTCGGACTGGTCATCACTGACAACAAAATTGCTTGTTGAACTGTAAACTTGATTTCTTACAGCACTTCTTACGAGACAGTGTCAACTACATTTGTTTCACTTTGTGAAGAAAAACGTCGTTTGGACGATAACAGTCCCTGTTTCAGAACTGAGCCCGGAAAAAGGACTACCTTTTTGCAGTGGTACCCCACTGATATGATTCAAAGAGGAAGAATTACAGGACACCAGGGGGAGGGGTTTGGGAACCAGCCCTCTCTCCCCCCATCATGTCTGGGGCGATCTGATAATGAAGGGACTATGTGATTGGGCGCTGCTAAGGACCTGTTACGTCATTCAACTTCCGCTGCCAGTTGCAATTCGTGTTTCGAAATAACCTCCGTGGTTTCACATTTTTCTTCGCACACCCGTCCCCTCCCCTTTTTGTATGTGCCCAGTCAAACCCTTTATTGTTAGCAGTTGCGTCTGAAGCTCAGTTCATTCAAACTCATAATTTAACGCCATGCAGACGTTAGCAGTTTGCTCTGACGTTCAGCCTAGTCAAACTCCTTATTTTCACTCTAGTCTAAACGTTAGCAGTTCCGTCTGACAGTGGGTTTTTATTGCAACAGGCGCCTGATATTGTAGAAGTTTGCTCCCGCAACAAAATCAGAAAACTCGGAAAATACGTTTTACGATCAGTTTTATTGCTGCCCTTTTACAATGTATGAAAATCGTTTAATCTTAACTTTTGCTTTCTCTTGAAAAAATACTTGGAATAATGTCAAGTTGATAGACGATCGAGCACAGTTCATGTCTTACTTGATTCAAGTGAGAAAGATGGTGTAGCAAAATTCCCTTCTATCCCTTACATTTTTTAAAACCCTTAGAAAAAGCAGCAATTGCGTCTCTTCAGTCACACAAAGAGAGCATAGACATCAGCGCACACTTTTCCTCCGTTATCTCCGTTGTTCTTGACCAAGTTTTCACCGTACCACACGCGTAATTCTTGGTTGGAATGGACCCAGTTCGGAGACGAAAAGAATGGCAGAACAAGCTCAGGTGAGAGGGAGTTATATCCGGGAACCCTGTACCACTTTAAGCTGCTGATCTTCTGGAACTGAATTGGCGGGAGTAGAATGTGGTTGCTTGAGTCTGTGATGACAGCGTTGACTAGAGTGTTTAACCGCATCGACGGATTGTCGCCACAGCCCCAGTAGGACCAGAAAGACGGGCCGTGAACGTGACAGGACACGTATCCGTACAGATGTACCAGCTTTATGGCAGCTAATCTTCCCCCCGGGACGTAAAATCTTCCGAACCGGTTGCCTTTGGCTTCAAAACATACTGGCCACTTGTTTACTTTGCGCCAGCGAACTGCAACAAAACATAATAAGATGTAACTTCTCTTAAACTGATTGATTTTTAACTGGCTGTAATTTAATTCGATAATCTCCCCTGTAATTTTTTTCCCAACAGTTTTATTTAATTTTGCAATTCGGTTGATGGTAATTATGCCGATAGGAAGCGATTTCTCAAAGCATTTAGATATGTAAACTCTGATAACGGAAGTTTTAGGCGACAACAGTTGAGAATAAAAATTAGTGATTGTGATGTTGAATGACGTCTCGCTATTCTTCATGTCATTATTTTCAAATTCTCAGTTCCATTATACATAATGACACGTAATGAACTCAGGGAAGGGAATTAAGATACAAAATGCTACTAAAAATAATAAATATAGGTCATTTTTATCAAGTACTCAAAACCTAACTGAGGTGTCCAGAATGTTCGTTTAATCAAAGAGCTTCGCAAGGGTGGAATTGTTCTGGGTGTTCAAGCCGCCGTAGATTGCGTTAAAGAGCTCGAAAGAGCAGTTCGTAGTCGAGGCATTCAAGCTTTTCTTGGGACCTATGAGAGAATGCTAAATTGACTTTCTTTTGAGCTTCTTGGTTAATTTGGGTTACGATAATCATCACAGAGAAAAAACGAAGACTGAAGCTAGAGATATGATTTAGCTAACCTGAGATCAGGCCCAATTTGAGCGGTTCTCATACATTCTCTCTAAAGGCTACCGCTGAAATTGGAAATGCAATTCGCTCTGTGGGACTATGTGAAAGCCGAGCACGACCGCGAAAAATGTGAGCCAAGCGAACAATTGAGTCCGATGGGCGAGAAAGAAGATCACCAAGCAGATCAAAGGACTTTAAGTCCAGTGATTATTCAACAAACCTGAATGGGTTCCTCTCTTAAGTCTGTTCTGCGAGTCAGAACGGTAATTTACCGAGGGATCATCCGGCTTTGACGCGAGCGCTTGACTGTCTTCTTGCCGGGGAATACTTTCCGCCAACAGCGTCAACACGCCTAGAGAAAAAACGATAGCAAAAACCAAAATCAACTTCATTGCTGGGTAGACAACGTGAATAACGTACTCAGTCTAATATGTTTTGTTCGGTTGTTTGTTTCAGTTATTATACCTCCTTGCACACAGTTTTTGTTCCGGTAATTCTGTTCGTGTTAAAACATGATCGGCACACATTTCCTGTGGCAGTAGGTCCATCGTAGGTCCAGATTGGTTTTGAGCACTGAGCGCTTATATTAACATCGGTCATACTGAGGTGTCCTATCTGAGCGACGGGCTGTCGATAAACCCCGGAACACGAACTACTTGCTCATCCTGTTTGTTATTATGTCACTTAACTATAGATATTTTTCAACCGCGGCGATAGTTGTACAGAATAATGTAGTCGGTAAAACAGATTTACCGCAAAACAAACAAAAAAAGAAATGTTAAAATATTCTAACAACTTAAGCCTGCTGAACGAGGTGGAGAAATATTATTTAAAAAAAAAAGGTATAGAAAGATAATTCTTTTGTCTTGTTTTTTTTTTTTTTTAAATCGATGAGTTTATTCGTCAACGAGACGAAACAATATCGGAGTCTTGAATCAGTAGTAAAGTTGCAGAGTCGTCGTTAATTCTGTTATCGTTTTAACAAGGATGTAATATGTTCAGTGAGGGAAATTCCCTTTGGCCAATTTTGCTGAACAATAACGATGGAGTCAAGCCGTTTGCCATGCAAGAGAACAGAAGACTGAGCCGAAGAATATACAGGAAACCACGTAATCCATGAAAATGCCTTACCGGCAGCACGACTGGTTTGATTTCAATACCGTAGTCTCGTCGTTAAGCACTAGAATTGTGAAAAAATTACACCCCTCTGTAACAGACCCATTGAAACCCTGCTTAGTGTTTTACATCAGTATACCTAGTGATGAGACCCGGCGAATAGTTTGTGTTTCTACCCGGTGGATCGTTTTTGCTTCCCCGGTCACTTTCTATTACAATAACTTTATCTTCAAGGCCAGTGTATTCCGTTGTTCATATTTGCTTAAAAGATAAGCAAAAATATAAATC